CTTTTGGAGGCCGAAGTGGGCAGATCACCAGAGATCAGTAGTTCAAGACCAGCCTGGCTGACATGGCAAAACCCCATCTCCATTAAAAATACAAAAAAAATAAAAAATTAAAAAAAATAGCGGGGTGTGGTGGCATGTGCCTATAATCCTAGCTACTCGGCAGGCTGAGTCAAGAGAATTGCTTGAACCCAGGAAGTAGAGGCTGCAGTGAGGCAAGATCATGCCACTGCACTCCAGCCTAGAAGACCATGGAAGTTTTGAGCAGATATTGAAACTAAGAGCAATTTTAGGTAAAGAACTTGAAGACTCAAAAACATCCTTACCTTACCTCTCTTATATAGCAATATATAACAATGCAGAGAAACATTTGAATAATTGATAAATGCTATTTTTGTGGCCTTTTGGGTTGTCTAGGATAATGATTTCTTGATATAATTAAATTTTCACATATGAGTTCTTCTCAATAATTTATTAATTAAAAAAATGGTTTGTTGGTAAAACTAAATTGTTATATATAGGTAAATTTTTCAGGACAATGTGTTAATTTTAAAAAGTGTTAATTCAGAAAGAAAGTTCTGGAAAAGAAAATGAGCTCTATCAGAAATAAGATTTCTGAATATTACAAGTGCTTCCACATTGTTTATGATTTAGGTTTAGAAAAAAGAAAAGCATACAAATAAGAAAATATTTGTAAACAATATGAGCATATTCAAAGTGAAAATTCATTGTCTTTTGGTGATGGTACTCTTCCACTGAAGTTAAATTTCCCATTGAAGTTTGTTTTAATAGGTTTAGGTCAGTAGAGCAGAACTTCCATTTGGTATTTGGCTCATAATCAAGCCTTTATATTGTAAGGAAAAAAAAGAAACGTTCAAAACGTTCTCATTTTTGAGGGTTTTTTTTTCTTACCTAGAAGAGTTTCCTTTCTTATGAAATTATTTCTATACTTATTCTAGGGCTAAAATTTTTTTTTCCGTGTTTCCAAATGACCAGAAGATGGCAGTGTTTCAGAACCTTCCACAACCCTGCATTCTCAGAGAGCAAACACTCCGTTAGTTATTCCCAAACCCAAGCATCCCAATCTTACACCTTTCAATCACAAAAGGCTACCCCAAAATAACTGGATGAGCATAAAATTTAATGTTTATGATGTTCAGCCTATTTGAGCACCACACTTCCATGGCCCTGGCGTCACTGTCCCTAGAACTATGAAGTGAATTTGAACCAGTTGGGCAGTCTTGGTTACCTGACAGTAAGCTACTAGAACCACTCAAACAGCTCACTGCTAAGGAACAAGCAATTTATCCTCATATGCAACTATACTGTGGTGCCTGCTGTGACTCAGATATTAGAAGAAAAGAAATAAACCAAGAGACTTGGGTTCGAAATGTTACTGTCATTTTTCGACCACGGACAAGTTAACTAGCCATCCTAGTCCAAAAAGATCTCCAGGATCTTTTCTGGTCTTAAAAGCCATAATCTACCATTCTTGCCAACATCAGTATCACTTCAAAGTTCCCGTAACTGGTTCAAATTCACTCACATTGTTGCAAAAATAATTGAAGAGCTTTACTATGCAAAATATGTTATTCAGTATAAAAAATTAGAGGATAGAATCAAAACCAAACTCCCAAACCAAGATATGGAGAGTTTTCAATGTATAAGACATTACTCTTAGGAAAGTATTTCCATTATGACATTCTGATAAAAATAGCTGTCAGGCTGCCAGGATGTTGGCCAGGTGGTTTATAGAAAAAGGGTAAGAAATCTGGGAAGTCCTAGAAACAGGGCTGAAGGAGTCACCCTAGCTGAAAGGTTGGTCTCCATGGAAGGAGAACGGAGAGAAGGTTAGAAAGAACCAACCTGCAAAAGCAGTTTCCTTCGCCTACTTTTGAATGGGCTTGTTTGTTTTTTTCCTGTAAATCTGTTTTAGTTCTTTGTAGATTCTGGATATCAGCCCTTTGTCAGATGGGTAGATTGCAAAAATTTTTTCCCATTCTGTTGGTTGCCGATTCACTCTAATTAGTGTTCCTTCTGCTGTGCAGAAGCTGTGGAGTTTGATTAGGTCCCATTTGTCTATTTTGGCTTTTGTTGCCAATGCTTTTGGTGTTTTGGTCATGAAGTCTTGCCTATATCTATGTCCTGAATGGTTTTGCCTAGATTATCTTCTAGGATTTTTATGGTGTTAGGTCTTATGTTTAAGTCTTTAATCCATCTGGAGTTAATTTTAGTGAAGGTGTCAGGAAGGGGTCCAGTTTCTGCTTTCTGCACATGGCTAGCCAGTTTTCCCAACACCATTTATTAAACAGGGAATCCTTTCCCCATTGCTTGTTTTTGTCAGGTTTGTCAAAGATCAGATGGTTGTAGATGTGTTGTGTTGCCTCTGAGGCCTCTGTTCTGTTTCATTGGTCTGTATCTCTGTTTTGGTACCAGTACCATGCTGTTTTGATTACTGTAGCTTTGTAGTATAGTTTGAAGTCCGGTAGTGTGATGCCTCCCACTTTGTTCTTTTTACTTAGAATTGACTTGGCTATGCGGGCTCTCTTTTGGTTCCATATGAAATTTAAGGTGGTTTTTTCCAGTTCTGTGAAGGAGGTCATTGGTAGCTTGATGGGGATAGTGTTGAATCTGTAAATTACTTTGGGCTGTATGGCCATTTTCATTGATTCTTCCTAACCATGAACATGAAATGTTTCTCCATCTGTTTGTGTCCTCTCTTATTTCGTTGAGCAGTGGTTTGTAGTTCTCCTTGAAGAGACCCTTTATGTTCCTTGTTAGTTGTATTCTTAGGTATTTTATTCTATTTGTAGCAGTTGTGAATGGCAGTTTGTTCTTGATTTGGCTCTCTTTCAGTCTGTTATTGGTGTATGGGAATGCTTGTGATTTTTGCACACTGATTTTGTATCCTGAGACTTTGCTGAAGTTGCTTATCAGTTTCAGGAGATTTTGGGCTGAGACAATGGGGTCTTCTAGATATACAATCATGTTGTCTGCAAATAGAGACAATTTGACTTCCTCCTTTCCTATTTGAATACCCTTTATTTCTTTTTCTTGCCTGATTGCTCTGGCTAGAACTTCCAATACTATATTGAATAAGAGTGGTGAGAAACACTGGGGTCTGTTGGGGGGAAATAGGGGAGGGACAGCAGGGGTGGGGTGATGGGGGGTGTGGAGAGATAGCATGGGGATTAATGCCAGATATAGGTGATAGGGAGGAAGGCAGCGATCACACTGCCTTGTGTATACCTATGCAACAATCTTGCATGTTCTTCACATGTACCCCAAAACCTAAAATGCAATTTAAAAAAAATCTGTTTCCTTTAAAGAACATCACAGAAGCCCCAAACCATGTTCTCTGTTCCCATCTCACTGGCCATTGTATCTCCAAGGAATGCTGGGAAATGTAATTTTTAAGCTAGACACTTGGCTGCCTCTAAGGTATTCTTGTTAACAAGAATAAAATAGAGAAAGATGGTGTGTAATCAACCAGCAGCCTCTGCCACACTGATTTTGGGAAGGAGTCCAAGCCTATGGGTCTTGACAGAGATGGCTTTAGGACCCAACAAGCATTAATACTACTCAAAGTCAGATGGGTATTGGCCATGGAGTTCTGGGTCATGGATTTCAAAGTATGATCCAACCCAGGATGCAAAACAAAGGGGATAGCTGGTAGGAACTCAGCAAGTCGAGTGCCAAAAAGTGGACTGGGCTTGGGGTTGCCAAAGGTAAATAGCTTTAAAGCCATGAAAAGAGATTGTATTCAGCAACTACTGACAGCAGGGGAAGAAGCTGAGCTCTACCCCAATTTGTGCAGAGGTGATTTGGGCATTTTAAAGAGAGAATGAGGGAGGGTGGAGAGGAGGGCTCACAGAGTCAAAAAAGTGAAGTGAAAAATCACAAAGAATTGGTCCATTTCAATGCCATTAGACCAGCTGTGTTTGTGAGCCAGCAGTAATTGAAGTTAGGATTCTCCCCTCCCAGAGACAGGGGGACAGAGGCTCAAACCTTCCAGGTGACTACATTTCAATGGAATGGCTCTCAGGTCCTTGAGAGAGATACTTGTGAGTTGTAAGAAATACATATTTACAATTATAATCTCCTTTTAATAAACACTCTCAGAAAGGGAAGTCAGAGGCCTATGTCAGGTGTTGATGAAAGCAAACAGTAAATTTTCCTAGCAGCCTTCAGATTTCTCAGGCAGCCTTTTTAAGGGGGATTGGGGAGGCTAACGTCATCCCAGGGTCATGGACTTGTGCTGCTGGGAGCCAGGCTAGAGGGTGGTCAAGTCTGTTAGTGGAGGGGTTATGTGTGGGGAGTTCTGAAGTTCTCAGGGGCTGCAGGGATATAGTTAAATTAGAAAAATGAGGCAAAGCCACAGCTTGAGAGAGAAAGTATGATTTAAAGGATGACTAAGGATGGGATGCCTAACCTTTGCCTGCCTTCCTCAGGGTGGGTTTGTTAGGTGGATGAAGCTGATCCTGCAGATTCCAACCTCCATGACTGTGACTAAGCAGAACTAAGACTAATAAAAATTATTCTAAGCAGATTTTCTTTAATCAAACACATACCAGCTAAACAGATGTGTTCAATATTATTAATACTCAGAGTGAGGCAGTACCCAGCACCAAAGTTAAACAAGATTAAACAGACTCAACTCCTCACAAACCCATACTCTGGCTCTTCCCCTCCTCCCTTCTACCTACATCCTTGCATCTCTATATATCACCTAGGCCTCCAGACTGCCTTCCAGCCTCTGGGACATCATGATCATCATCCAAAGGCCACCCAACAACAGCTGCCCTTCTGTCCCAAATGAGCACTGTCACTAGTTGTTTTCAGAACCCAAATATTGGGCTCTTCCTATTCTCTTCCCCTTATATTAGCAGTATGGCCTGTCTGCAAAAAAAGTGAGCCCAAATGGGAAAGCAGGTTCCTCCATGGTGAGCTCTTGCAGAGGATCAAAAAGGACTTTTTTCTCAGTTCTTTCTCATTGTTCTTAGTGCACAGTCCATGAGATGGAAGCCATGAAGACAATATGCCAGAGTTTCCGGGAGCATTTAGAGGAAATGGAACAGCACCTTATGAGACAGCAGGCCCTCTTTTCTAGAGACATGTCAGAGGAGGAAAGGTAATTACCTAAGGGAGCTATAAAAGTAAGTACCAGCCCACACACCTGGAACAAGGAAGAAAATTAGGGCAGGACAGATGAGCACCCTGGAGCAGAACGAATGAGAAACTGGCCAGCTTTTCCTTTGCTTTCATGGTCTTGTTCTTGCTTTCTCAGTAGGAGTCTGTGAGCGCCATTTGCTAGATAGCAACGCTTACTCTTTAAGGCAAGAGCTATTTGAGAAGGTCAAAAGACAGGCAGTCAAGGGCATTGCCAGCAGGATGTCTTTAATCCCTAAGATGGGGCTCCTGAAAATGCAAATGTGTGGAGTTATGAGAGTTTCAAAAATCTGCATTATTGTCACATAGATTAAAAACATGTCCCAAAAGTAGATTAGTCATTCATTGCCTGGAGCTGGGATGGAAATCAGGTTTAACTGTAAAGAGAGGGGCACGAGAGTTCTTAGTGGGGAAATAGAAGTGTTTTAAAACTGGATAGTGGTGATGATTACACAATTTGGCAAATGTATTAAAAATTATTAAATTGTGCTTTTAAAACAAGAACTATATTAGACTGCATAGAATTATTTTTTAAAGAAAGAAGACAATCTTAGTAATGTCTGCAACTGACACAAATAAAGAAGATGACATTCTCTTTTAAGAAATTGCAAAGTAAAAACCTATATTATGAGGAGACAATGGAAGATTGCACCTGTGAAGGATTGTTAAATTTGGTTGTTTTCTATTATTTACTTCCAGGGAGGAGGCCGAGCAACTACAAACTTTGCGTGAGGCCATGAGGCAGCAGGTGGCAGAGTTGGAATTTCAGTTAGGAGACCGGGCTCAGCAAATCAGAGAAGGAATTTTGCTGGTATGGGTGATGGGGTGTGGAGTTTTTATACAGCCTACGACAGGAGGGGTGCATTAAATGAGAAAGCTGATTGTGTAACCATTTCAGAATCTAGGTTTACATACCAACACCTTCATTTTGAGTATATAAAGAAGTACTTTGGTTTGCGCAAGGGAACACAGCCAGCTGATGGCAATTCTGCATTAGAATTCAGTTCGCCTGCCATGCCCATCTTCCCCCTGCCCTGTACTTCATAGATAAGTCTTATTAGCCCATTTTCCAAATGAGAATAGCAATCATAGGCACAGTGAAGCTCATCTTTGGAGCCAATACAAGCGAAGTCACTATCAGAATCTGCTGCTGGATCAAAGAGCCCATTCTAGAAAACTGACCACCTCAGAATGCCTTGCTCACCAGTTTGAGTAAGCTGTTCGATGCCAATGTGATAGTCTGTTTACTTTTTTCCTCTTGTTTTTCTTTCAGCAGCTGGAACTTCTCACAGCAGAACCACCTGAACACTGTTCAAATCTGCATCAATATAACTGGATAGAAGAAAGGAATGGCCAGACTTCATGTTCCATCATCCACCCAGGCATGGCCCCAGGAACTGTCTTTCCTCCCAGTGATGGCCAGCAGGCTCCCTGTTCAGGTGGGACCCACCCACCCTGGAGAACAGCACCAGGATGCCTCAATCACCAGCTTGGGCAAAGTTAGGTCCAACCCCTTTGTCAAATTGTCCTGTTGGAGAAAAGGGTACAGATGTCTTTCTCTAGATCAGAGCAGGTTTGATGACCTGCATACAAAATGTAAAGGCCCAGAACAGAAGTAGGAAGGAAATTTCACCTTTTCCCAAGGAGAAGCATCTGCTAACCCATTGTCAGCTATATTTTTCATATTCTACCCTATGGTTAAACCCAAGAAGAGTTTAGAATACTTTAAGACACATTACATATAGAATAACTGAGCACCTAGTATGTGCCTGGCACAGAGTACGCAACAGTGACTAAATAGTGTATGATCTTAGCCCTGCTGGAACTTACAGTGTGGTGGGGGAGATAGAATTGCAAACAAAAAGTATCTGAGACAGGTCTCAGTCAATGTAGAAGTTTATTTTGCCAAGGTTATGGATATACACCCAGGAGAAAGGTCTGTGCCTCTCTCCAAAGATGATTTTGAGGACTTCAACATTTAAAGGAAAAAGGGCAGCTAATGGGAAAAGCAGCAGACATTTTTTTTTGAGAAGGAGTCTCACTCTGTTGCCCAGGTTGGAGTGCAGTGGCACAATCTCAGCTCTCTGCCACTTTCACCTCCCAGGTTCAAACAATTCTCCTGCCTCAGCCTCCAGAGTAGCTGGGACAACAGGCACATGCCACCACGTCTGGCTAATTTTTGTATTTTTAGTAGAGTCGGGGTTTTACTATATTGGCCAGATTGGTCTCAAACTCCTGACCTGGTGATCTGTCCATCTTGGCCTTTCAAAGTGCTGGGATTACAGACGTGAGCTACTACACCTGCCCTGTGGAAGACATTTTTGAAAGGTGTGGGTAAAAAAGAGGCAGTCACATTCTCTTGAGTCTGATCAGCTTTTTGCATATGAGAGGGCTTAGAGGAACAGTCACTTATGCATTCATCTAGCTCACTGAATCTGAACTTCTACATAAGATAAAATACACACAGGGCACAGGAAGCAATCAGATAAGCATTAGTCTCAGAAGAGCAGAGAGATGACTTTGAGTTCTGTTCTTTGTCCCATACCTATAAAGAGAAGTTATCAATCTACTTTGTCAGGATTAAATTCAACAGATCTGTTTTAGGGTAAAGATTGTAGGGCCTATAAGGAATTTCCCAGTGGGCAAATTGTGAGGGATGTAGCTTTTTAAAAAATCTTTGTAGCTATCTCATTTAGAAATAAAATGGGAGGCAGGTTGCCTGATGCAGCTTCCAGCTCGACTTTTCCCTTTGACTTCATAATTTTGGAGTCCTGAGGTTTGTTTTCCTTTCACAGAATATAAACACCTACATACCTTTATTATTAAATACTCTGAAGGAAATAGCAAGGTATTATGAAAGAGAACATAGCACGGAGTCCGACTTAGATTAATGTTCAGACAGCCTGGGTGAAGAAGTGACAACAGAAGAGGGAAGGAGAATCCAGGCCTCAGAGGTACCAGACTGTCTGAAAACCTCCAGTCAGGCAGCCAGTGGGAACGCTGATGAAGCACCTACTGTATGCAGGCCACTATTCTAGTGCTGGAGACAGCCATGAATAAGACAGGTGGACTTTCTACTGAGAAAGAGTTAGATGAAGAGTAAGACTAAAAAAAAAAAAAAAAAAAAAAAACAAGCAAGTAATTGCAATCCTGACAAGAGCCTTGGAAGACAGTGTGATAATATTGCAAAGGGAGATGTGGAGTGAAACTGTACTGCATTCATTAGTTAGGGTGCTTATGCAAGGTCTTGCTAAAGGGGAAGCTATTTGGGTAAGACTTGAATGGTGAGGAAATGGAAGCCATGAGCAATTCTGCAAAAGAACATTCAAAGCAGAAGGAATGGAAAGTTTTCAGGCCTCCAGATGTAGAGATAGGCAGTGTTGCTGAGTGCGTTGGGCATGGGGATGTACCAGAGTCACAAGATACTTCTATTTTTCTTTTAAAAAACTGAAAGTATTTGGGGATAGTTTATAACTGTGTAGTTTATATGATTGAAGAACTAATGTTTCCTCCTTGAATGTTTCAGGGAGCATTATCTCTCCCTGAAACCAAGTGTTTATATTTTTTAAATGATTTGTTTCTACTTTGGATCATTTGTATTCTTCTATGGACATGGGCAGGCATTTGTCAAATGCATTGCTTTGTTAGCAACTCCTATGAATAAAATAAATAATTTACTTATATTTTGTGTTGCACATTGTGCTGAAAGCTGTTGAACGTTAACTTCACATTGCTTCGAGGAACACACTGAGGTTGCGTTGGAACGGGAGATTTCCTGCCTAGGGCAGTAGCAGGACTCTGATTCCTGCCAGCCTCACTCCTTCCCTGTCTGTTCTGCAGAGACCCAAATGCTACCAACCTCTTTGCTTCTTCTTCTGCCCCCAGTTGAGGCTCCAGGTCCAGATAGTGCAAGGGGTAGACTAAGCTATTTGTTCAGCACTTGGTCCCTATATCTGTAGACTTTTGTATTTTGTTTCAGAAAACAATTCCCTACACTCCATTTAATCTGAATAAATGTAGAGCCATACATTTGCTTTATCTGAAAACTCTATTAAAACAGAGATGTTTCTTGCAACTTCAGTTTCTTTTCTTGTAGTATGGTGGTCTGCTTCTGCAAAGCTGTAGATTGCAAGAAAACTTTATGTGGCCTTCTGCAAAACACTCAAGTCATGTAGAAGTATAGCAGAAACTTCTGACTCTATTTTATGCACCTTTTTAGCTTTCGCAACATCTGATAATAACAGTACCTAGCTGGTATGGTTTGGCTGTGTCCTCATGTTGTTCTTATGATAGTGAGTGAGTTCTCACAAAATTTGATGGTTTTATAAGGGACTTTTCCTCCTTTCGTTTGGCACTTTTCCTTGCTGCCACCATGTGAAGAAGGATATGTTTGCTTCTCCTTCCACTGGGATTGTAAGTTTCCTGAGGCCTCACTAGCTATCCTGAACTGTGAGTCAATTAAACCTCTTTCCTTTATAAATTACCCAGTCTTGGCTATGTTTTTATTAGCAGCCTGAGAATGGACTAATACACTATCCCATTATCACTTTTCTGTAAATGCTTATTAAAATAAATTTCCAAAAACTGCTTTCATGTCTATGAAACAATGTTAGGGTATCTACTTTATGATCAAAGTGAAACATCTAAACATATATCTCTGTAAAGCTGTCATCTACTATATAACATTCCCTTTATAAAGACACATAATAGAAATTTCTTTTAAATTACTACCAAGAAAGGTTAGATTGTTGCAGAGCAACTGATTTATTTATTCTGAAAATTGATTGTGTTCCTCTCCCATTTTCTTTGTCTGCTTATTTTTCTGTTTGGGTTTGGTTAAGGAAATTCAAGACCACTCTGCAACCTACCTCTAGCTACTGTACGTAAGAGGAGCGCACATTTTTATTGAAGAATTCTTATTTCTGACTTTATCTTATTTGCCAGTCCTTGTTTTTCCATTCTCTGGGTATCTTAATCTATTTCTATCATGGTGTTTTTTATATTCCCTTCTGTAAACCACTTCAAATCTCTTTGACAGAGCATTATACAAGCCAATGAATACCACATACATATTTATTTAAATATGAAGATACATATCTAGGGAAAACTAACCAGCAGTGTTACCATTAGAAAGTCAATCGTGCAATATATATTACATATAATATACACATAGTGCAGGATATGTAGACATATGTATGTGTATATATGTGCATATATATATATATACCTATATACATACATATACATATATACACACATATATATGTCTTTAGATAGTGTTTCAATTACAGATAAAACACTTAGAAATAATGTTGATGATGAAAAGAAATGTAATGAAGTTCCTGGTTGCAAGGGAATCAGATTTGTTGAACAGAGTAGAGATAAGCTCAAGAAAAAATAATACCAATAAAAGCCACAAATAGAAATTCGGTACCACAAGAGGGTTATGTGATTGTGAAATAAGTCTGGATCAATCAATTTTCCACATTCAGAATCATGTTGATGAATAGCCTGCTGCCTTTTGGGGGCATCCAATAAGCCACTGTAGTTTATATATATAAAACATGTCAATCAGAAAGTGTGTTTCTAGCTCAGAAACATGATATCAATATATCTAGGATATAATAAAGAAAATGTTAAGACATTGCAAACCTATTGACTGCTACTTCCTGTGCTTGATTCACCTGAGAATCATTGACCCCACAGGGAAAGATAGTCTTTGGAAGAAAATTTAAATAATTGGGAATATTGTTTCCTTTAATTCTTCTAAGTAAAAGTCAGTACTTTAGAAAATGATTGATACGAATGGCTGCCTCCTCAAATAACACTGGAAAGTCAAATGTCATAGATTTTGTCCTGACATCTAGAAACGATGCTTAGTGTTAGTGCAGGAGTTTCTACTTCCCATCTTCCTTCACAGTGAAAGCCCTGAAATAATAGCATGCCTGTTCTTCATTTCTTCCTTTCCCCTTTACTCATCAACCTGATATGGTTTTCCTTCTCCCTTTGCTGTTTCACCAAAATTGATCTGAAAAATTGTCCAATGATCTCCTAACTGTAAAATAAATCAAATTGCTTCTGTCTTTATTTGATTCATATAAGATAGTGCAACAGTGTTTTAAAATTTATTATAAAGCTCAACTCTTCTCTCTTAAAAGTTATATTAACTTGAATAAATTACCTAATCTCTCTGAGTCTATGGTTCCTTATCTGTTAAAAAAGAAAAGAAAAATTCTGATTATACTCATTTCTACCTCATAGAATTGGTTTTATAGTTCTTTATCTATGTAAAACAAAAACTACAACAATAAAAATTACCCAACCAAAAGGAAAGCTGTACCTACCTCATAGGATTAGTTTGGAAATTGGATAAAATGCCTAGATGGGCCTGGAAGAAAATTATATCAGTACTATTGGCTATCATAATTAGTCCTATTTGTAGAATCTGAAACTGCTGACCATGCTTTTCTTGGATAACACCCCCGCTTTGTCCATGTTATGATACTCTCTGCAGGTTTCCTCCTCCCATCACACTTGCCACCTTTCTTTGTTTACTTCATTAATTTCTTTCCCTCTGCTTACTCCCTTCACTTTATATTCCCAAAGTCCTTGAATCTCTTCTTTTCCCACTTTTCCTGAGCAATCGCATTAGCACCTCTGATTCTCCACTGCAGATGGCTTACATATGTGTATGTCTAACTCAGACCTCTGCTCTTCGTTTCAATTGGTTATGGTTATTGGAGTCATTTTCCTCTCTAAACCAGCTCTATGTGACCTGTGCTACCTGTATCAGGTAATACCACCATCACTTTTACTTTTGTGGGGTGTGAGTTCTTCCAGAACCCTAGAGAGCTGGAAAAGTGATTCCACTTTCAAGGACACCCAGGCATTGCGTCTATCTATTTACCCTGGAAGGGAATATGGTCCTACTAGTACTAATTTGAGTAAGGACCAGAAGAACCCAATATCCACTAAAATGTCCTTAAGTGAATGTACAGAGATTTTAGTAAAGATTATTCTAAAGTGATGAGGTTTGTCCTGAGTAGAAAACAAAAAAAAAAATGAAATGTAGCAGAAGAACCCAATATCCACTAAAATGCCCTTAAGTGAACATACAGAGATTTTAGTAAAGATTATCCTAAAATGATGAGGTTTGTCCTGAGTAGAAAAAAAAATGAAACGTAACAAAAATTTGGCTGATTCTCAGATCTGGACAACTCTACTCTTCACAGGCATAATCATCTTTAGCTGTGTGTCCCACCAAGAATCTCAGTACCTGGAAAAATTCCCAGTAGGCTCTATTTGCTCCCACTTGTGTGGGTACAGCATTTTCAATAAGTTTTTGGAACCTGGGTCTATTAGGAACTCATAGTGCTTTTGTGGTCTGAGTGTGTGTATGTGTCTGTGTTGTGTAGAGGTGTGTGACTCTGTGTGACTTTATGCATGTATGTGTGCTGGATTTTGTCCTGTAAATCTGTAAGTAACCTAAAATTCTAGTTACCTTATCTAGAATTCTAAGAATTATCTTTGAATCCTTCCAAGTCAGTAAGAAAATTATATAAAACCCTCAATTCACTTCCCATTCCTACTTCTATTGCTTTGATTCTGCTCTTTTTATCCCACCTCTAGATGGTTTCAAAATTATTCTAGGTGATTTCTTTTCTGTAATATTTATCCTCTGATCCATATTAATACTAAAACACCAAAAATCTGACTCTGCTATTCTCTAATTTAAAAATCTTCAATGGGTTCTTATTGCATGCAGGATGTAGTCTTAACTCTTCCTTGTCCTACAAAGCCCTGTGATCTCACCCCTATGTCACTTTATCCCATTCAAATTCCTCTTTAAAACCTGTATGCCACTCATAACTCAGTGCTGGACACTACTGTGACTCCTCAGTCCTCTATCCAGCTACTGCCTGTCTGTGAATCCTCTTCATACTCTCTAATTCCCATGGGCTCCTTTTCCTGGCTCTGGCTAGAAAACTGTGGTTTTGGATCCCCTGCATTGTCATGAAATTCCTGTTGCTAGGTCTACCTCAGGGCAAAGAGGCAAGACAAGAGTCTGCAGAGTTACTGCTGCTGTAGCTGCCATCCCAGATTCTACCACCACTGCGGCTGCTCTTGCTATGGAGTTGTAATGCCATTCATTACCAGGACATGTCTGAAGTAGGGTTGTGATAGGCAACAGATTTCTGCTTTCCAGGGGCTCCATTCCCAGAGAGAGTGCCTTGTAGCTTTTTATGTTAGCACCTTTTGCACAGTTTCAAGGTTCAGACTGCTCTAGAATTTATGCCAGAAAATACAGGAGGAAACAAAAAGTCAGGAACTTTTTTCCATAATTGTTTTTCTTTGAGTTTTTTACTCTTTCCTCCAGTTGACCTACTATGATTTACTTTTCAGACTTCTCAGCTTCATGTATTCTGTTCAAAGACTTTTGATTGTGCTTAGTGGAAACAATAGGATAGCATGTACTTATGCCATCTTAACCAGAAATGTAATTTATCAACCTAATTGTACTTAATATTCTGTTATAGTAAAAATTACTGACACTTGCTTACCATGTGCTAAGTACTGTGCTAAATTCTTTATATGCATGATTTACATATCATATTTGGGAAATTCTCAACCATGATTTCTAACAAACATATTTCTGCACGGATTTCTTTCTTTTCTTTTTCCA